TCATTTCTCTCCAGTCACAATGGAAAGGCAAATTTTCCAATACAAAAATCATAGGAAAGCAGTATTTTTTGCAGGGGGACGCAGGCTCAGTCAGAGTCATCAGGATCTCGCGGACAGAGTGTCTGGGAGGTGTGTCTGCGATGAATACTTGGGTTCGGTAAACACGTTCGTGGGCGGCTCAGAAATCAGGCGTGTTGTGAATTTTTTTTTTTTTTTTTTTTTTTTTTTTTTGCGGAACCGGGGATTGAACTCAGGCCCCTACACTTGCCAGGCAAGCGCTTATTGCACTGAGCCATTTCCCTGGCCTAGGCGCGTTGTAAAATGCACTGCGTGCGCTTCGCCTCATTTTCAGAACCGCTGTGGTTCTGCAGAGCTGTTTGCGTGGTGTGGTGCATGCTTGTGTGTTTTTTCCGCTTGGCTTACAACTGTTGGCAGAAAAGTTGCTTGCTGTTTACATCTAGGGCTGTTACCACCTCAGAGGAACGTTTCCAGACCATTGATCTCCTGAGACCTGTTTATTTTTAAGAAAACTGTTTTCCTAACTCTATCCAGAAGCAGCTCCTTTGCCTTCCCGAACGTGGAGATTTCACGAGCGTTTCCCAGAGCCAAAGGCAGAGGACTGATTCCCTCTTGGCTACTTCACATTTCCATCTTTTTTTTTAATAGCTCAGCTGGTGTTATTCCTGCAAAATGTTAGCCCTAGCACTGTGCGGGACAGGATGTTGTGATTTTGTCTGGACGCCACAGTATGTTTCCAAAAGAAGTTCAGGGTAGAGATCAAACTACAATTGGGCTTGCAACAGAGTATGCGCTGTAGCTGTGCGTAGGTGGCCCAGGCCTTCCGAGTCTGGCTGGGGTTAGACAAATCCCTTTGGCTAAGCAAATCTCTGACCACTAGAGCCACTTTCATCTTGAGAAATGCAATTCTGGGCAAGGACCACTATGAGTTAGGTACTAGACTAAGGGCTTTCATACAGTGCAAATATCTTATCTTAAATATTTAGATTTAAAAAAAATTGTTTCATACAGGGTCTACAGGGTCTCACTACACAGATCGGACTCAGTGATCTTTCTGTTTTCAGTCTCCCAAGCACAGGGATTACAGGCACGCACCACCATGCCCAGTCTCAACTGCCATCTCAGCACGCCCCGGGGCGGGGCTGGCAGAGCTTGCAGGGGATCGAAACCCAATCCCTGTGTCTGCCGAGGCAAGCGCTTTAATCTGCTGAGCTATCTGGCAGGCCCTCCCATTCAATCTTTATGATAACTCTCAGGTTATAGTTTTAATCCTCATTTTATTTATGAGGAAGCTAAGGCTTATGGAGGGTCAGAAATATGGACAGTGTTTGGTTACTTTTCTTTTGTTGCTGGAAAAAAATATCTGATACCCAAAAATAAGGAAGGAAAGGTTTATTTAGCTCAGTTTGTGAAGGCAGAGTGGCACGTGGCAGAGGGCAGCAATTCATGGCAGAGAACAGCAAAACAGCAAGAGCAAGGGCTAGCAAGATAGCTCAGCAGACTTAGACAGAGTGCAGCAGCCAGGGTTCAATTCTCAGTGCTGGCCCTGCCCCCAGGGCGCACTGAGATGGTGATTGAGACTGGGTGAGGTGACACGTGCCTCTAATCCCAGCACTTGGGAGGCTGAAAAACAGGAAAATCACTACGAGTCGGACTATGTAGTGAGACCCTGTACTAAACACAAAAACAAACAAAGAAAAAACAGCAAGAGCAACAGGGAGGAGCAGCAGTGGCAGGGGCAGCAGTGAAGGCGGCCTCTGTCCCTTCCTTACCCTGTACTCAGCCTATCCATAGATGTAGGACTCACACCCATAATCCCATCACTGGATCATGAATTCACCACAAACTTTGAAGCCACTCCATGACTGCATGAGTCTTTGGGGGGACGACTAGACACAAACCATAATAGAGACCATTTCATATTTATTACTAGAAATAGATCCATCTGATCCATAGATTTTATGAGTCCATTTCCCAGAAACAGCCAGAACAGGTAAATCCATAGGGACAGAGGGCAGACTGTGGTTGGCTGTGGGCAGAAGAAGGTGGGATAGGGAATGACAACCTCATACTGCAGAGTTCTCCCCAGGTGCTGAAGGTGCTTTGGAACCTAAGGGAGGTGGTTGTTGTCTAACTAAGCGAATGTATTCAA